ATATGTTATTTTACAGTTAATTATTTTTATTTAAAGAAATATATCTATAATATTATATGTATTTACCCATATATTATTATAAATTTATAATTTTATGTAATATTGTAATTATAATATAAAATATAAAATATTTATACGGACAATGTGTGAAATAAAACTTATTTTCATGTATTTTACACTTCCATTTTTAAGTCTTTCTTTTTGAGACAATAAGCTTCTATTGTTGACTTCCCTTGCATTTCCTAAGCATCTTCTAGGAAATACATCCTGCAATTGCCTAGTTAGTGCCTATTTAAGTTGTTTCCTCTCCTTAGTTGGCTCATCAACTCCTCGCATCAGAAATTGAATCTGCTGCCACTTCTAATAATTTTCTTTCCTCGGCTCAAATTGGTTATTAGTGTCCAACTTTACCTACTTCTGCTACATGTAAGTACACTATACTATATATCCATATCATTAAGAGTCTGTTTATTTTTTCTTTGATATATATTTCAGTGTTTTTTATTAAATAATTCATGACCATATTATTAGATTTAGTTTATGTTTGCTTCACTTTTCAGATTCTTTTTATAATTGATACTTTATTTAAAATGTTTGTCTGTTTTTTTTCTAATAGTCATTGATTACTTTAAATAAATTAATATATTAGTGTTTATTTTTAACTAGTGATCATATTTAAATCATATTTTTCTTTTTAGATATATTTTATTTAAGGTGCCTGTCTGGTTTTTTTCTAATAGTCATTAACCACTTTAAATAAATTAAGATATTAGTGTTTATTTTTAACCAGTGATCATATTTAAATCATATTTTTCTTTTTAGATATACTTTATTTAAGGTGTCTGTCTGTTTTTTTTCTAATAGTTATTGATCACTTTAAATAAATTAATATATTAGTGTTTATTTTTAACTAGTGGTCATATTTAAATCATAGTTTTCTTTTAAGAAATATCTATGAACCTTTTTTTTATAAGAAATAGTAAGTTTATAATTGCAATTAAGCATATCTACCATATACTACTTTCTAATTTTTTGAACTTAATTTGTTTTTTAATGTCTAATTTCTTTGACATCCTCTTCTAGACCTATAGTAAAAAACGTAATTTCGCCAATTATGTTTGCTTTAAAGTATAATATGAAAAAACATGTTTCATTCTATATCCAAAGAAATAAATAAATTTCAAATGCATGCCAACTAAATTTACTTTAATGATAGGACATTTCTCGATGATTTGTGCATACTCAATCACAGTTGTGTCGCATTTGTACCTTCCTGGAAATATTCTATTTTTCTCTCTCATTGACCTGCCCACTACATTAAGGGTTTTTTATTTTTGGTAATGGAAAATTTTATAGATAGTTTAGTTAAATTTAAAAAAAAGTTAGTATAATACATAAAATAATCAGTCTGATAATAAGAGTAATAAGAAGAATAAAAAATAAAATAGAAATAAAATCATGTGAACGAGAGAGTAAGGAATCCGTGGAAGAGAAAGAACTCTAAGTAGAGAGATTAATATAACTAACAACGCAAAAGAAGTAGATAAAAAAGGGAAAAAAGTCAAAAATTGAGAAAATATAATTTATTATTTTAAATTAACAATAGACTAATAAAATAGAGTTTTTTTTAAAAATTATTTAGACATACATAAATTGATATATGATAAGTCAAATTCTTATATATATTATTGTGTTAATTTTTCCTTCTGGAAGAAATCAGAAATATTAGGATTGAATTGCAGAAGAATAATTTGAAAAAGAGAAAGATGAAGTCAAGGACCCAGATGAATAAATAAAACGTGTAAAGTTCAAAGTGCAGAAAAAGTAAAAGTTGAGAGACCAGCAAAGTTTTACCCATGAAAAAACAAAATTGCTTCTTAGGCCTATTTGGTGGAGCTCCTATGAGTTTCAGTTTTTTGACACTATTTATATTTTATAAGTTTAAATTTTTTTCTTTAAAACTTACAATTAAATTTTTTTTAACCTTAAAAAGATCTCAAACAATAAAAATTTAAAATCTTCAAATCCAAACTTTTCATAAACTTCTTTTTTATTCATTTTTTTTTATTTTTAAAAGTAACTTTTAAATTTTTCTTCCAATAAAAATTTAAATTTATCATTTATAACAGCATTTAAAAAAACAAAAACTTTCATAATCCAAACTAAACAGTTCCTTAGCCTAAAATCCCGACACGGACACTCTTTTTTAAGGTTGATGGGCGGTAGGACACATGTTTTTAAGGTGTCTACACGTTGAGATTTTCAGCATTTATTCACACAAAATTCCAATTATCTTTGCGTCAGTCCCACTCTTCTTTTAAGGTATCTTTAAGTCCTATAAATGCCTGTTTATTTTGATCTATCGACTTTTTAGTATTAATTTAAACCTTATTTTCTTAAATAACTTTGTTAAGTTTAAAGAACATATAAATAATTCTAATCTTTTTCAAATAATTTTTACTGGCCAATATCAAAAAAAAAAAAAAAAAACCTCATACTTCAAATTTTTTACAACAATTATGTGTCAGTAATTTAGTTTAAAATATTTATATGGATTGAATGTAAAATAATGCTTGTTTTCACGTATTTTTCACTTTCATCCTTCAAGTCTTTCTTTTTGATACGATAAAATTCTCTTGTTGATTTCACTTGCATTTGCTAAGCATCTTCCAGGAAATGCATCCTGCTATTGCCTAGTGCCTCTTTAAGTTGTTTCTTCTCCTCAGTTGGCTCATCAAGTCCTCGCATCAGAAATTGAACCTGCCGTTTCTTCTAACAATTTGCTTTGCAAGGCCTAAGGCCTAAATTGGTTATCAGTGTCCAACTTTACCCATTTCTTCTGTTAATCTTGCATTGTAAGTACATTATCTATATCTTCAAGATTCTTTTTATTTTCCCTTTAATATTTTTTTTTTATGATCAGCAAAATAAAATAATTTACCCATTGTGATCTTATTCAGAATATGTTTTTTTTTTTCAGAAAATATCTATCAACTTCTCTTATAAGAAGGCATAAGCTTGAAATTGAAATCAAGTAGATCTGCTATATGCTACCTTTTAAATTCATGGGCTTAATTTGTTTCTCAATATCTAATTTCTTCAATATCTTTTTTTAGACCTACAGGTACGCAATTCCTTTTATTATGCTCTCTTTGAAGTATAAAATGAAAAAGTATATATACTATTACATAAAAAAAATAAATTTTTTTTTTGATAGAATAAAATTTTTTTCTTAAACGTGTAATCTCATGCCTTAGATTTCTATTGGTTGTTTCTGAAATTATTAATTACTTTAAAAACTTTGACCTATCCGAAAATCGAATTTAATTAGAATATTTTTAATTAAAATTTTATTAAAATAACATAAATTTTAGATATATTTTTATTAATTTTCTTCTTTTATATTCTCATTTTTAATTTTAATTTTTTAACAAATTGTTAGATTCTTTATTGCCTTATTATTTGATTTTACCTAATTATTTTGTAGGTATTTAATTGATAATCTTGTGAAGTTTCAGTTTAAACCGTTCAAATAAATTAATATAAAAATATATATCTCTTAGTTATCGCATTTAGATTTTTTTTTTTAAAGAAATATCCATTAATAAAACCTCTCTTTATAAAAAAGAATAGGTTTGCAATTGCAATCAAAGAAGATCTGTCGTACGCTACTTCTAATCTGGTTGACCTGATTTGTTTCTGTGTCCAATTTCTTGAATACCTTCTTCTAAATACACAACTCCTTCTGACACATTCTTTTCGGTTTTAAAATGAAAGTAATTTTTCTTTTTGCATAGACTACACAAAAAGAATAAATTTAAGTACTAAAATTACCTAAATACTATTAATAAAATTTCATTCCATATTAATTCATTAACAACGTACCCAGAAGAACTGAACACATCAAATATAAAGGTATAAAATACAAATAAAAGTGCAGTCTAAAATACAAATCATTTGCACATCTCAACGTCTAGACACTGGATCTCCACTCCAAGTTTCCAATTCATCAGCTATTAATAAATATGCTTTATCGGTGCCAGAATAACAATTTTTTTTTAATTTTAAATTTATTTTAAAATAAAATATTTTTTAATATATTTTAATAGAAAAAAAAATCTTTTTCTTACATTAACTTTGTCATTAATTATCTCTTAACTTTAAGAAAAATGATTGATGCACCCTCTAATTCATTACATATTTTGATATTTTTTGGTTTAGTCATTAATATATAATATAAATATAGCTGATTTAATCACTTTTTAAATATTGTATACATAGTTATATATTTAAATTTATCTATATTTAATTTCATATTAAAAAATAATAATTTTTAAATAAATACATTATATAGTGTATTAAATTCAATAATGCATCAACCAAAGTCCTAACTTTAATTATTCATTTATCATAAAAAAGTTTGTTTATTTTCATTTCTCTATTCCTCTTTTTAAGGATAATATAGCTAAAAACATATATTGTTTCCAAATCTTTATTTTTAAGATAAATTAAAGAAACGTATATCTATTATTTTAATATGCTTATACCATTTTATATTCAAAGAAATAAATCATTTTCTTATACTATGTAATTACTATATATATATATAGAGTGTTGGGCAAAACATAAATAGTACTTATTTTAAAAGTAAATTCTTTTGCTGATAAAAAATAAATAAATTCTTTTATTACAATTTTTTTTTGAACAAAGGTAATTATTTACAATTATTAAATGGGTAAGGGAAAGGGAGAGTTGGGAGTTGAAACTAAAACCTATCACCTGTGTTTTCATTTAGGGATAGAGTGGAACCCTGTTCACGATGTAGAGAACTTTTATTACAAATTTAAAAATTTGTTAGAAGGAAGTTTAAAAAATTTACTTTTAAAGTAATTTTAAATAAATTTTGAAAAATTGTAGATGTACAGCCTTTTAAATAACAAATTAACCAAATTATAATGAAAATTTTAAAATAGAGCAATTCTGATTAATTTTTAATATAATACCAACCCAAATTTAACTTAAAATTTTGAATTAATTAGCACTAATTTTTTCTAAATTAGAAAAGGGTTCAATTACATAAGAGGTATACATTTTTAAATAAATCAAAATATATCAATGTGGAGTGCGTCCGCCGTCTCATGTCCCTGTACAATCTGTACATTCTACATAATGATAGTTTTCTTTCATGAGGAACACACAAAGTCTAGAAAATGCTGAGCTTAAATGATAAGAAAATAATTAATACACTTTTTGATTTAATTTACTTTACAATATTTATTTAGTTTAATTATTAAAGCATAATATAAAACAACTGATTAAGTCAATTTTTATATGTTGCACGTATGGTTATAATTTTAAGTTTATTTATTTTAAATTTTAAATTAAAATATAATAATTTTTTAATAAATATATTCTATAATGTGTTAAAATTAAAAAAAAAATACCAGTAAGTGTCCTAAACAATAATTGTGAAAAACAGATTGAAGGCTAAAGTCCTTTAATTAATGCAAAGGGCCGGAGCAAGGCACCACTGGGAAACGTAAAAACACTTCCATCAAGCCAAACGAAAGTTCTTCACTGGATCATTTCAAAATCTCTGTCCTCTCATCCCCAGAGATGGAGTTATGTAGAATGGAATTCCTCATAAACCAAATTGACCTGACCAGAACAAAGAAAATAAAAGACCAAACCTCCGTGCGGATGTAGTTCTGAACTACAGCACAATGTCTCTCACTGAGTTGATGAACAGTTGCTGGAGGTGTGAAGTTGAGAACCCATCATCTGTAGCCCCTTTTCCATAGCTCTTGTGTCTTATTAGATTTAACAAATAGGTGATTAACGCATTCCATCCTCTGAGCAAAGAAGACACAACAGGGCCTCATTGTGTAATGGAATGCCCCTACTATGAAGCCTAGTTTTCGTACGAAGGCTGTTCAATAACAAACGCCACCCAAAGCAACTCACTTTTGTGGGGAGTAGTTACTCACTACACCATAATTGCCATTTACTTGCATACAAAATTTGTAGCTAAATCTCCAAAAAAACATAGTTGTAACCTTGCTAAATACTATAATTACACATTAAATGACATGGTTAATGTATTATGTAGTTAAAGATAACCAGTTACATTTACAATAATATTGTTACGATTTTTAAATTCATAGGTAATGGTTTTAAAGAAACTATACATATATTTACAAAATTATAGGTAAATAAAAATACCCACATTTATCAACTGTAGGTAAAAACTAATAACAATGACAAAATACTGCTTTTGATATCATCGTTTAGTATTAATATTTGTTATTGTTAAATATATTATTTAATAATAATATAAGTTGTAATAAAAAAGTTTATATCGTAACAACCTTATTGTATGTAAAATGAATATCTCACAACTATATTAATTGTTACTAAATATATTATTAAAAAGCCATATAAGTTGATGCAAAAAAGTGCAGGTTATAACAACCTTATTTGTACTTAAAACTAATATATTATAATGGTATTTATCGTTGCCAAATATATGATGTAACAACATCATAAGTTGTAACAAAAATGAAAATGAAATTTAAAAAATTTTCAATACAATTTTTAATATAAAATTAATTACTATTATTTTAAAATATATATTTAATAAAAATATTTATTATTTTATTTTTTATCTCAAAATAATTATTATTTTTAAATTTATCTTAAATAAAAATATTTATTATTTTATTTTTTA